TAATAATAATAATAATAATAATATTATAAAAATACGTCCGCCGCTGATGTCTTTGAACGTGGCGCGCGCGACACGCGTACGTCTTGCTTCCGGACGCKGCACAGCACGCGCGCGCGCTCATCGCTCCCTCCGACTGTACAATATAATACGTATATACTGGATAGGTATATAGTTACGCGTGGTATATATGGTGCGGTGCGGTTATTATACCGTCATCAATGTGGTCTAATGATGACGTGCTTCGGCGTTCCTGCCAAACAATAATGATAACGTATTCGTCGCACACGCGCCAGACGGCGACACACATCATAACACGTCGTCGTCGGGCTCATTGATCGTTGAAAACGAAACTAAACACGAAAACCTGCGGACACCGCTAGCCAAACCACCGCGATGAAAAAATGTTCGGAGTGAAATTTGTCCGACATCAAACATGTCCGCGGTAAAATATTAGGTGTCCAACGCACAAWGTGTGTTCTCAGTATAAGCCCTATACTAGCACCCATATTATAAGGTATATGATGGKTTACAGTCCCAGAGTTGTTTAACGTCAAAAATAAGAAAAAATATACCGATAAAAATTTATTAAATCTCTTTGTCGTGTACATTCACAATGAGAATAATAAATAATAACTATAACTACTTTTTATCCACACCATTGATTTAAATTTTAAAAAATAAAATAAAATTTCTGGTTTTAAAAAATCAAATAAACAAATAATGTATCACATCATTCATTGTATTGATTTCACAATGATATGTGTGCTTTTTTTCAATTAGTTTATAGTGAAACACTTTTATACTACAAAAATGCTTCGATTTTCGACCTCGATATCTCTTGGTAAGAAAGTAAATCTGATCGGTACTTAGTGAAAAACGATGAATTTACATTAAAACACCTAAGTTACCTATACTTTCCACCAGAGGCGTATTTATGATTTTGTCAAAAAGAGGGAGATATACGTTAGCAAACATTTAATATCCCTAAGGGGAGGGAATAGTTCACTTACCATCGACCTCACAATATTATAAATAAGTAACAATTAATAAGAGACCTGCTAAGGGGGATCTATTCCACATACCCACTCCCCCCCATAAATGTATCTACAAGTGTTTTAAGTGAGTTGCAACTTATATTACCGAGGTCCCGCTTTTATTCCACTTCGATATATATAATACATTTTTTTTTTAAATTTAATTTTGATTTGTTCAGATTTTTGGCGGTTGTTATTCCTTATAAATTATACCTTACAACTATAAAACATATGTTATTATTATTACTTA